GTAACACAAAAGAAAATATATGGCAGTTATGGCAGAGGATAATGGAATACAACAGGAACATCATGGAAGGATGGGAAGTCAATATGTAAGAAATCGTAATATTTAAAATAAATTGAATAATGTTAAATTTCATGTAAATAACTAATACACACACACATATGAAATGCACCAAAAAAAAACCACACACACACAACTTCACTGTGCTCCAAGGCAGTAATGAGAACACACCCTTAGTATGCAGTCCCTTAAACCAGTGATGGTCAATTTTTTTCAGCCAGCTGCGGGGCTAGCTTCCTCCAAGCTTAGCTACTTGAGAATCAAACTCCTTCAGAGGCCACTGTGATAACATAAAATGCCAGCCAGGCCCAAACTCTGTTCTGGCTAGTGTCATTTCTGAGTGAAGTTACTTAAGGACTGGCACTGGCCAGGCCAGCAGTTTCTAACTGGGCACTGCCAAGGGTGGATTGTGACAAATCAGAAGAGTTGGTTGCAGTTTGTGGGTTGACCATGCTTGCCTAAAACTATTTGAGATCTGCAGTTAAGGAGGGTTTTGCTTGCCCTCCTCCCTAACTTTGGTATTTGCTGAACTTCCACTTGTGCTATACTTTAATTAGCCATTTTGTAAACTGAAATGTAAGCACCATATGAGAGGACTGAATGTGACAGAGGAGTGATTTGTATTGTAGGAGACCGGGAGCTTTCCAATGAACCGTGTAAAAACAGTTCATTAAAATGTTTATGTGCTTGGCTACTTAATGCCAAGAAAGCTTTATTGCTGTCTTATAAAACCCTGGCAACTTTTGGGCAGAAGTCACGTGTGTACATAGGAAATAAATTAGAAATTTATGTAATCCCAGTTATGAGTCTCTACAAAAAGGAATGAGAACATCTTCAGAAGTGGGGAACAGCTGCAGAGCATCCCCTTTTCATGTAGGACCCCAGGTTCAATATCTGGTAGGGTTTGGAGAATTCCCAGTCTGAAATGGTAGAGAGATGCTGCCAGTCATTGTAGACAATGCTTAGCTACATGGACCAATGGTCTGATTCAGTATGAGAAAACTTCCTAGGTTGGCATTACAATTATTGTAGCAATTGCTACTTTTGATAATTTATGTAGTGCTTTTTGTCTCAAATCTTCCCAAAGCGGTAAACAGAATATTTAATCAAAAAGCACAGTACAGTACAATAAAATACAAAAAATCAATCAGCAAATTAAACAAACTTTGACTTCAAAATATACGACTTCAAAATAACAATGTTGAAGAGCCTTCCCATGATGGAAGATTAATGGGTGCTCTCACAAACCCTATATACACACTTAGGGGCTAGAAACCTGAACAAACTATGATAAATACTTCCCCCAGTTAGAAGAATTAAGGGTTATTGTTGCTATATCAAACCAAAATGCAACTGAATATGGAATTTTCAGACTGTTGTATTAGGAAACTAGAATTGGTTTCAGATTTTTATGGACCTTACCCAGGCAAATGATCTCCCCTGTTCCAGAGTAGCTGTGCCAAAGTCTAATTTACACAATAACTCTATGCATGTATTTGCTTCCCACAAACCTTGCACAGTTACCATTGCATGGTGCACTTCCTGGTCCCACCCTATTCCTGGCATCACCATTGATGCTGTCACATCCCCCCCCCCCACGTTAGGAGCTGAACCTCCGAAGCAGGAATGATTCTGATTTGGAGCACCAGAAGATTAGGGCTCTAAAGCTCACAGGGTTCTAAAGCAGCTGCCTGCCATATGCAGCAAACAAGTGACAGGGAATTCCTGTTCTTTTCCTAATACCCCAATACACATCTTTTTTTAAATATAAAAACATACTTAACAGAGCAGCAGACAGCAGCAGATTTTCCTCCAGTACTCCACACACACAAGGCCCGCAGGAAGCAAAGCAAAGAGGAGGCAAACAAGCCCTTGCACTTCTTGTTCCCTTCCCTTTTCAATAAGCGCTTCCATGGGCAGCAGAGCAAAAGAGAAGGCAAACAGGCACAACACTTATTGGCTCCCCCCATCCTTTCAAAAAGATCTTCCATGGGCAGCCAGAGCAGAGCAGGTGAAATGTCCTTGGAATTTCCCTCACCCACAACATCCTCCCAAAACCCAAAGGAGAGGCAAGAATCCTGCCTCTCTTCTCCACTCTTATCTGTGTTCAATAACCATTTCCCAGGCAAATCCTTCCTTCCGAAAGGAGGAGAGGAGTTCACATCATAGGCAACTGGAGTTGGAAGTAGATGGGCCTTTCTGTTTCCAACAGCAGCTCTGCACTTTAAAGTCAGAATAAGTGTTATACTTGTCACTCAGCTTGTGTTAGTCAGCAACTCCTCCAGCTTAGAAGGTGGTCTGCACATTCTGCTTTATAACTTTCTTTCTAGAAGGGCTAGAGACCTAGTTTAAAAAGTTAAGTAAAGAACAGGAAGTCCAGAGTCTGGCACCCCTGTTCTGGCATGCCAATGAAGCTTTTCATGGCTCCCATGCTCTAAACGGACCAGCCTCCACCAACTTTAATTGGCGAGTAGGATAAACAAAGAGTGGAAACCACGCAAAAAACTAAAATGCTAGATTTCAACAATGGCAATTCATCATTTGTAGTCATGTTTCAAAAGTATCCTCTCAGTTAACAAAGTATACTTATAACACAGGGGGCCCTCAAGAACAGGGGAGCCCTAAATCTGTACATAACTATCTGTATAAATCCACCACTGAGGCTGAATGTAAGTGTGGAAACACTTTGTGTCTATCTTTCGTCCAAAAGAAAATAAGTCCAGGAGTCAGAACAGAGTACAGCACAGAAGGCAATTGTTGCCCAAGTGAAGTTCATCCTGAACAAAAGCGCTTTATAGCTCCTCCTGTTAAAGAAATGCAGTGGACAAGTTGGCTGGCTGGAAACAGATCCACTGCCCAGGTAGATGTTGAAAACTACAGCCCTGGTGGCTCACACCACGCAGGGCAACTAAGGGTTTTAGGACTTGTAGTTCACAGTACCATGTCATAGTTTGACTCATGCTTCCAGACATTTTCCAAGACAGGATATTTAGGCATTAACTGCTTATTATTCAAGAGTTAGGATGATATGGTTTCACAAACCTACCAGCCAACTAGGCACTCAAATATAAAATAATAAAAGAGTAAACTTTACATATTCAAGAAACATGTATGGTGGCTAATAGCACCATAGAGCAGTCATCACTTTACAACATACAGAGGGTGTTCCAATAAGGAACTAGAGAGGTTTCCTAAGGCACATTTTGATGCTGAAGAGTTAACTTCCTGTAATCTCCTGCCACCAAGAGAGTGGTGGTGGCTAACTTCTAGCCACAGTTTCAAAAGAACATGAAATAAAGGGAGCTTTAAAAGTGCCTGTTGCCAGACCAAGCATCAAGTTTCTAAATGACCACTCTCTTCTCATCCTCCTTGAATGAACATGGACCATCAATTTCCTCAGAGGGTGAAGGGAATGTAAAGCAGTGGTTTAGCATCCTATACATTATCTTGCTTTTATGGTTACAAATAGAGCACTTATGTGCATTGACCCATGTCTCATACCAGTTATCGGTAGCCAGATTCAGGTCATTGTTCCAACAGTGTATTAGGGCCTTAAAATGAAATCTGGTCTCAAATTTATCTAATGCAATTACATTATTTGGACAATTTTGTCGTTATTGGTTGTTGTAGTGGCATACACTGTGGCAGGGGATGAAAATATTGGGACAGAATGCCATGTGCATTAAATTCAAATCCACCTTGCATTACGGTCCAATAATTGTCTCTGTTTGTTGTTATTTAATTAATATTCATCGTTTTTGCTTGCAAACTTTAAGACTTTTTAAAGAGGGGAGGGGGTGAATCAGTTTTTACCCTCTCTGGGTTTCCCCAAAGCCCCCTTAGCTATAATTGCAAACTTAAAACGGCCCATGGTCCTGCAGCATATCAACTTGATGTCTATAATTGACCAGCAAACATTTTTTACAGCCTGCTAAATGGTGAGACTAAAATATAATATATATAATGTTGATTAAAGTACTTTTGTACAAAGGGGGTCAGAGACATTAGGAAGTTAAAAGAGAGTGCAAACTCTGGTGTTGCACTTTTAACCTATGTGCTTTGCTGAATTTCCATAATTGATCCCACATGCTGGCTTTTTAAGCATTTCTTGTCAAATTTCAAACTGCAAAAATCAAATTTATTTAGAAAGGAGCACACTTTTAGGCTGGGACACTAGACAGAATGCCCAGCAATGCAGATTGCTGGTATTATAATAGCAATGATTGCGAAGAGTTGCAATTTAAAGGGCCACAGTAGCTTATAATTGCCTGACCCGATATCAGATCTTTAGGTGTAAAAAGAAAAAAAGGTGGAGGGGAAGGAAAAAAACACCCAGGTTAACAGTAAATCTGAAATGGATTAGAATGGACCCCCAAATGATAATTGCTACATAATTTTGTTTAGGTTGTAATTTGTGGTGTTATTTTTATGGCTGACATGAGACATAATATGTTTTCAGGGTTTTGCAATTGCCAGCCGACAAATGGAATCTGTCACAAAGTATTTGCAGCTTCCCCCTTGTGAAGGTTATAATGCTCGTGAAGCACAAGTGCATACTGCAAATTATTTAGTGTAGAGATCCATGAAATATTTCCCTAACAAGGTAATAATAACTAGGGTCATACATAGTATAATAAGCCCCGTTCATGCTTATTGTCATTATCCGACAGCAGCAGATACATTCCACAATATTTCTTACTTGTACCTCTTGCATTCTGCAACATAAGCGTTGCTGAGATGTGCTGAAACTGATGCAATCCTTGGGAATAATCCAGAATTAATATTTTGACACTGGCATCAGTGAGATAGAGATTGCCTGAAGTGATTAAGAGGTGCTGGGGCCCATACCTCTTGAGAAGAAAACCCAGCCCACAAATACTGGATGAGTGCTCTGCATATGCTCAGAAGGATACTGTCATCCACAACATCAGAGGCTCGCTTACCTTTTGTTCATCTTCTAACGTGATATATGCCATCATCTGCCAGCGATGCCTTTCTGCATTCTACATATGACAAACAGGCCAATCTCTGCACAAAATAATAAAAAGACAAAATTGAAAAAACCAATGGAAGAACACGTCAGCCACTCGGACCTTAAGGTGGCCATGCTGGAAAAGAAGAACTTCAGAGGGAAAATGCAATACAAAAAAGCTCAGTTACAAAGATCAGGTGGTTCAGGGCAATCACCTGTGGATTGAATTGACACCTTGGGTTGTTTTATAATCACATTACATGTTGTTAATTGGCTTACCAAGTCAGTTTGCCAGTACAGCTGCTTTTTAAATTTCCCACAATGCCCCAAGCAAGGCTATATCATGGCCACAGTGAGAAATTAAAATGGCAACAAGTCTCAGACGTCTGGCACACTGCTGCAGTTGGCATCAGGTAAGCCTGCTGGGAGCACACCAGGCTACAGCAAAGCCCTCTACAACAAACTGAGAGTTGCAGACCCTTCAAGTGTCGCTATTTTCCAAGGACATCCTTGATTTAGAGAAGCTGTCCCAGTTTCCTATTCTGTGTGGAATGTCCCACTTTTCCTTAGGATGCCTTTATTTTCATTGGAGAAATGTTGGAGGGTATGGAGTTATCCGACCCCTGAGCTGCCTGAAGGCAATCCTGTACTGTATAGGGAAGATTTTTTTAAAAAAAATGTTTAATGTTTAATTATATTTTTTATATTTGTTAGAAGCTGCCCAGAGTGCCTGGGGCAACCCAGTAAGGTGTGTGTGGTATAAATAGTAAAATTATCATTATGGATTGGGGTGTCCCTATTTTCATCAGAGAAATGTTGGAGGATAGGGAGCTGGGTCTGCTGCAGTGAGAGGAAAAACTGCAACTAGCAGGATTCACTGTTACTAGAAACTGCTTCCTTTAGCTATTCTACCATTTGTCAAACAGGGGACAAATGAGGCAGAATAGAGGGGAGATCAGGATTGTGCCTTTTTTTTTTGCCAAACAGCGGTCTGTATTTTGTGTGCATCCCAGTGCGCATAGGCCTCTGTGCAGAAGTATTTAACAATGGGCCTATATCAGGGATATAGCCTGACTCCCATTCAGCCTAATTGCTTGCCAAGAACTAATGCAATTTAATCATTTTGAACATATTGGCCTATCTATGTTTATGAGACAGCAAGAAAAGAGAGAGAGATTTGCTTTATGTTCTGGTTGATAAAAATACGTGAGCGTCTGTGGGAATTAAAGGAGGAGTGGAAATCTTTACCTTCCCAAGTGAAAGATGTGGAAGGGAGTAAGAGAAGAGATCAAGGTGAAAACTGGGAGGAAGGATGCCTCAAATTGAGAGGTGTGATTGCCAGGCCATGTATGTAAGTTAACTGTGGAGAATCCCACGTTGCCTTTGTAGAATGGAGATCTATTTGGCCTCATATTTCTATAGAGAGCATAAAATAAATATTTTTTATTTCTATCTTAGACTTCAGGCTCCTGACACTTTTCAGCTGTTGGGTTAGGTCAATTTATTTGTTGGGTCAATTTATTTGTATTGTTTTATTCAGAGCTGATTTTCTTTATTATACCATCACTTAAGTGAAATTGGTCCTATTTTTCTTATATTTGTTGCTGTTTTTATACATTGTGAGCTGCCTTTGGGACACCATCTTGTGGGAAAGTGGGATACAAATAAATGGGTAATGACAAGATTTTGATGGTGCTATTATTCCGTGATCCACTGCCCCAATTAGCCGCCTCACAACAAAATTTCTGTTTATGAGCCTATATATTTTCCTGAGCTCCTCCCCCACTAAACACAGGGTGGTATGTGACTTAAGTTATAGAGTAAACCCATTTAAATTAATGGATTTAAGTTAGTGATCATTACTAGCATTTGGTCTTCTGTATGTCTGAGGCCCCATCTGCACTGCACACCGAAAGCAGCATCATATTACTGTGAACTGTCATTTCTGGGAACTGTAGTTTGTTAAGTGTGTTGAGAATTACCAAAAGACCCCTATTCCCCTCACAGAGCGACAATTACCAGAGTTTTCCTGAGGAAAGAGGCTGTTAAACCACTCTGAGAATTAAAGCTTCATGAGGGAAATAGGGGGTCTTCTAACAACTCTCTTAGCACCCTTTACAAACTACAGTTCCCAGGATTCTTTTGACTGAAGCCATGACTGGTTTAAAGTGTTGGGACACTGCTTTAAATGAATAGCGCAGATGGGCCCAGAGTTGGATATTAGCTGCTCGTTTTGAGTATAGGGTTTATGCCTCCTGACCAGCCTGCAGGGCCGGGCCAATACGTTCTGCCGCCTGAGGCAAAGGACAAGATGGTGCCCCTCACCCTACTTCCACCTACAGAAGCGGACTGGACCGGTAGTTAAATCTGACTTCAGTACTAGAAACAGAACACTGTTCAACCATATTTGAGGGCAAAAGATTAGCTGGGGATTCAAGACACGACTCTGTTCTCTCAACACTTTAGTCTGCTTCTTGAGGCCTGACTCTACCTAATAGTAGGGCCGGGTCTACCAGACTTCCCTCACCGACCCTCCTTACTTCACTTCCGTGTCTTTTCTGCCTCTTATTCTCCAGCCACCTACCTTAAATATTCCTCTTTCACAGTCAGTTCTGTTCTCAGCATATTTATTTCTTTCAGCCTCATTGTCTCTGCCCGCTTTCAGGACATTTCTCCCCCAGTTTTTCCCATTTTCCCAGACTGCCTCTGCACGAAGTTTTGATCCCACCCAAACTGACAACATTCTTTTCTCTCACAAAAGCCGAACTGCAAACTATTAAAGGTCTTGGAGCAAGGCAATTGAATCAGCTCAGCTAATCAGAGCCTGAGACCGTAGGAGAACAATACAATATAGATACCAAAAGTGGTGGCTGCTGTGCAGCAGCAGTGATGTTTATCTCTCTCTTACTGGAAGGAAATGACTAAAGGTGACCCCTTTGTTTATGCATCTGTAGGCATGGGAAGGAACCATGCACAAAGTTTGGCATGGTAAAGATATCTTCAAATCCGACCTAACACCACATTCACAAAGGGATGATGGACAACAAGAAACACTAGACTAGAAATGTGAAACTTTGACAATGATATTGCACAAACATTGCATAAATGATTAAAGAACCCTCAGGAAGGCTGATTGTATATATTTTTTTCCCTGTTCATTTTACTTAAAAACTGTCTTTTTATAAAAACAATTATTTTTCCTTATATGGAGTTTATTGTGAGCTGCCTTGAACCTGTTGTGGTCAGAAAGAAATAATGAATAATCGTAAAACCTATGAATAAAATTAAAATTATAATAATACATATAGAGAGAGAAGCAGGTTTGTTTTAATTTCGGCAGATATTTCTGTAAATAGTAAATAAAAAATAAAATAGATATAATCTAGTGGCAGTTATTTCTTATTTTTTATAACAGCAACAATAAATAATTAAATTTATTAAGCACCTAAAACCAAGTGGGTGGTGTAAAAAAGACTTGAATTATTTTGAATTTTAAATAAATTGATTTTTAAGGCCTGAGTAGCTTTTCACAATTTATCTTATATTGTTTTGCCAGTTATGCTTATTGAAAATTAGTTATGATTCCAACTGAATAATTTCCACATCTAAAGGACATTAATTCAGTCTTGATGCACTTTGGCAGAAGTTTCATTTAAAGGACAAGAGCGCCGAAGTCAGAAACATGTTTGTGTCTTTTTTTTTTCCATGAATAGCCCATGTCTATTCTCTATGAAATTGATGTCAAAAAAGTATTATATATTTTCTGTGGGAAATAGAAGGCTGCCCTCTACTATCCTTGTCAGGTCGTCGTATCCTTTTAATCATACTTTTCATTTCAGTACATTGAAATTTCCGTTACCAAGGACAACATCATAAATAAAAGTGTTTGTGAAATTTTTACCTGCAGCTTCCTAACTTTGTGCATTAAGCATGAGACTAGCAGAGAGGTGGTCAAATGTGAAAATTTATAATCATTTATTACGTACGGCTGAAGCGAGAAGGGAATAAAAGCGTGAAGGCATACATCTATAAACTGGAGCAGAAAAGCTTAAATGAAAAGTAAAGTGAATTTCTGTGTCTTGTCATAAAGTAATGAGAAGCTAGAGCTTTTATTCATAGCAACCCAAGATGCATTTACTCTCAATCTAGCTTTAGCAGTAAATGCTCCCCTGATGTATTGCTTCGGACTTACAAAGAAATATTTGTGCTCTACATAATCGTATAGTTAGGAGAATTACTGCACGGTTGAGAAGATTCTATAAAGGTTTATAGCTGGTGATGTTACTGTAATTTAATCGCGATGTAGCTAATGTAGTACTTTAATATCATAGGTTACTTTTTTTTTATTTACCATTTATTAGTAAGTGACAGAGTCAATCATCACTACATCATAAACAAATCACAGAGAATTCTGCCGGAACCCTACAATCCCAGAATAGATGTACTGTAGCATTTTTATAGAAGCCGTTCCATAATGAGTTAACCATCAAATTATTATTTAACTGAGTAACCATGTAAGTAAGGGTTCTTGTTCTCAGTCCATTGGCCAAAGAAAACCCTGATGCGTGTTTTACTCCATGAATACAATTAGTGCTCTGTGTGGTACGAACATACCAAAACATGTTGTCCATCCATTATCAGTAATGTGGAGAGGTGCCATCTCAGGAATATTAAGCATGCTCTGGTAAAGAGGACTTCGTAGATCCCTTTCTTTTAGCATTTTGATGTGTTTTGTCAACACAGCCAATATGCTGCCTCGGTGCTAGCTGATACTCTTTTTTTAAAGCAAGGAGTAGAAAATGTACTTGAAATGTCATGGGCACTGCATTCTCTATTAGGGTGTCTTATGATGCCCCTAATACTGCCATTGACTTATCCAACATAGGGACTGTGCATCTGATAATATAAACTGGTACCTATTGAAATATGGGCCCAGATCCATTGTGGAATATCACTTTTTTAAAAAAGTACCTTTGCCATGGACACGGTTTAGGGCAGGAGTGTCAGCCCCAGTTGGGGGGTCTGAACAGCCTCCACCAACCAATTTTTTCCTCCCCCCCCATTTGTCAGTAATAGACACATGGTGGGTATGCAAATCATCCCTTGCCAATCATCAGTTTGATAATTTGATGAGTTGGTGGGGGCAATAATCCCCCTTTGGATAATCTGCATGGATAAGATGTGAAGGGGGCTTTGTGTCCTGTGTGTGTGCATGGATGAGACTGTGCACATGAGCATGTGGGTTTGCCGCACCCCACTTTTGGCCCCAGCATGTGGGTACTGTAGGCTTAGCCAAGGGAGAATGCAATTGTCCCTGTTTGGAGGAATGACCAGTGGTGAAGGGAAAGAATTAAGATTGAACTGTGAGGAGTCTCCTAACAGTCATCAACACCCTTAACAAACTACAGTTCCCATAGCTTGTTGGGGGAAATCATGACTGTGAAAGTGGTATAAAGGTAAAGGGACCCCTGACCATTAGGTCCAGTCGTGGCTGACTCTGGGGTTGCGGCGCCCATCTCGCTTTATTGGCTGAGGGAGCCGACATACAGCTTCCGGGTCACGTGGCCAGCATGACTAAGCCGCTTCTGGCGAACCAGAGCAGCGCACGGAAACACCGTTTACTTTCCCGCTGAAGCGGTACCTATTTATCTACTTGCACTTTGATGTGCTTTCGAACTGCTAGGTTGGCAGGAGATGAAAGTGGTATAATAGTGCTTTAAATGTATGGTGTGGATGTAACCTAGGAATAAAGTCACATGTGATATGGGGTTATTTCATTTTAAAACACACATCCTGGCGGTCTTGATAGGTCTAGCGATGCTTGTAAGGGACTGTTCAACCCTATCCCTCTACACAATTTCCCTAAGCTAAATTGCCCTCCTAAAGTTGTCATTTGTACCTCAAAGGAGCCTACATTCGAATTAATAAATTATGCATATTTGCAAATGTAATTAAAGTGGTCCAGTTACACATTTTGGTTCCGATAGGTGGTTGAGTCTTCACACAGAAAAAAATTGGGAGAGCATTCATGCACAGATGTTTCAGTTTTATTTAAATTATTGTGGTAATTTGAATATTTAATAATGGAATAGGAAGTGGAGATGGTAGGGCATGAGCAGGGGTGCTAATAAGGCTCTGAAACAAAGACTAGCAGCTACTTTTACACTTCATGTAGTAATCATTGGTACATACTGTGTTTGCTATGGTAAAGAGGCAAAGTGTTTAACACGGATCCCAGCCAAGTTCTACTCAGACTCATTGAAATCAATGGACCTAAGCTAGTCACCCATTAATTTCAATGCATCTACTCTAAGTAGGACTAGCATTGGATACAAGCCTATGTGTTTACTGCAAATAAATTCATTTTTTCTGGGCTTTTCACATCTCTAGACTCTAGCACTTTATATACAGGGCATGCTTGTATTTCTGAGTTGAGAGAAAGAAGGTTATTCTAAATATTTTGAAGGAGCAGTTCAGCTCTTTTAAGTAAAGGCAATATATTAAATGCCCATCAAAAGGAGCTGTAATGGGGAATCCTGGACTTCTCTGTTTTTCAGTCAAGCAGATATGCCTGCTGGGGAACAAGAATTGACTGGGGCGGGGGAGATGATAAGATGTTATTATTTGCAGTTCTTGAAAAGTGAAATCACCCATGCCCATCTCCTGACAACACCTTTGCACTCTTAAAAAATAATAATCAAGCACTAGTTTACTTTTTTAAAAAAACTAATATTTATGTTAAAAAATGTGATTTTTATCGCAAAGTAAAAGAAAACATTAATCTTTTTATAATAAGGGGTTCCACCCTTCTGGAAAGCTCTCTTGACTTTGCTCTGCCCCTGACAAAATGGCAGGAATAATAGACAGGGAGATGGGGGAGGAATGAAAGATGTCTCCATCTCCTCCTTATTCCTTTACTCACTGAGGTACTTGCTGTTTGCTTATATTGAGCTTTTTAATCTTGCTTTTCAATATAATGCCCAAAGTACTGTGTAATATAAGCCAACAAGTAATAATTACCAAAATCGGGAAGATGATAAAACCATCTAAAACAGCAAGGGGTGAGATCAGGCCAGCATCTGTACCTGGAAAGTGACTGTGGTAAATGGATGTGTTAGGGGTGGGATTTCCATGTCTGTGTGATGGCACCTGCCTCTGGGTCCAGCATCTATACCATGCACCCTGTGAGTGAATGTGAAGGTCGCCATGCACAGTACTATTAGGGCTGCTGTACCGTGAAGTTTTGGGTTTGGGGTCTAAGAGAACAATGCATGTGGACATTGGCTATAATTCAGGACAATATACTATGGTTTTCAGTAACATCTTTGAGGAGCAAAATTAATATCTAACATGGAAAACTTGCATGGTTTTTTTTTAAATGTAGAAGATATATATTTTTAAATGAATAAATATTTCTGTTGAGCCTGTATATTAGGATAGAAGTCCTGTTACCATTGCACCATAGATGGATATACCTTGGAGTGCGGTGCCTGGTCCGGAAATGATAAAATGTTTTATATCTTCATCAAAAACAACATTTGATATAATTCCCCATGATCTCAGTTGTATTATTTGTATAAATAATGTGACAAGTATTTTCCTAATCTAAGCAGGGATTTAAATAAAATAAAATAAAATATTCCATTTGACAAATGTTAAGGCAAAGCATGCCCATACACTTGTTATGGAATAAATGAGCACAATTAATTCAATGTGCATTCATATGAAGTATTCTCTTTCTTTGTCTATCTCCCCATGCTATACGTATATAACTGTAAGTATCTTTCAGTGTAGGAACTTATTCCTCTAATAAACAGTTTTATTAGGGTTGTTAATATTGGATGCATATGTTAAAGTGGTATTTATTTGTTCATATCAATAGTTTATTTGCTAAGGGTGAAATCTTGATTTTGTATGTTTCCTTCCTGTTTTATTTTTAGTAATTGAAAAATGTAAGCATTAACGTTATAGCTGTCAACAGCTAAGAGGCTTTCAAGTCTCTTAAACTGCCTCGTTTTTAACTGATTGGCCAATTAATGCACCAATTAGAATAAATATTGTTGCAGCCTCTCTGCTCAA